CTCAGCCAGCCCCGCGCCGGGTGGGTGGGGCCATATTTGTGAATGAGGGGACGCTGCCTCGCCCCCACCCCGCGCTGCGCGCGGGGCCCAAAAGTAAACTTGGTGGGTCATATTGAGGATGAGGGGGGGACTCATTGCTTTCCTCACACCTGCCGGGCGGAGGGGCCATATATTGATAATGAGGGGACCTACTGCCTCTCGCCCCCACCCCCGCGCCGTGGGTGGGGCCATATTTATAATGAGGGACCTACTACCGGCCCCCACCCGCTGGTGCTGTGGGGCCCAAAGTAAATCCCCCCAAGGTGACTAGGGGTCCCCAAGCCCCTAGTCACCCCCCCCAAATAAAAAGTCCCTACCTACCCCCCTCACCCTAAAAAATAGTGAGGGGGGAATAAAATAACTAACCTGTAAAATAAAAGTAAACTTACCATTCGATCACAGTGCTCTGTGTCATTTTACACATCGTGGGAAAATTGAACTTTCCCACGCTGTGTAAAATGACACAGAGCACTGTGATTAGATGGCTTGAAATCCATCCAATCACAGTGCTCTGTGTCATTTTACACAGCGTGGGTTCTTTTGAATTTTCTTTAGAATTTTCCCACGCTGTGTAAAATGACAAAGAGCACTCTGATTGGCTTAAACCCACCAATCAGAGTGTTCTTAGCCTAATTGCAGGGCGTGGCAAGGCTTTATAAGTCTTCCCCCGCCCCCTGCAGAGCTCAGTCTGCGCAGAGCCCTCCATGGGTGAAGATGGATTATTTTTTTGCGCTCGGGATTTTTATTTTATTTTCAATTCGACGGTTATGATGGTTTTTTATTTGGCCTTTTTTGGGGCTGAAAAAAGAAGATTTGAGAAAAAAGAAGACGTTGAATGGTAAGTTTACTTTTATTTTACAGGTTAGTTATTTTATTCCCCCCTCACTATTTTTTAGGGTGAGGGGGTAGGTAGGGACTTTTTATTTGGGGGGGTGACTAGGGGCTTGGGGACCCCTAGTCACCTTGGGAGAGGGGAATTTACTTAGGATCCCCACCCGCAGCCCAGGGGTGGGGGCCGGGGGGGAGGACAGTAGGCCCCCCCCTCATTATCTTTATGGCCCCCATCCGCCACCCAGGGGTGGGGACTGGGGGGAGGACAGTAGGTCCCCCCCCTCATTATTTTTATGGCCCCCACCTGCCGCCCAGGGGTGGGGGCCGGAGGGGGGGTGGACAGTAGGTCCCCCCCTCATTATCAATATGGCCCCCACCCGCCGCGCAGGGGTGGGGGCTGGGGGGCAGTAGGTCCCCCCTCATTATCAATATGGCCCCCACCCGCCGCGCAGGGGTGGGGGCGGGGGGGACAATAGGTCCCCCCTTATTTTTCATTTTAGGGGCCCCACCCACCGCTCAGGGGTGGGGGCCGGGGGGGGACAATAGGTCCCCCCCTTATTGTTCATTTTAGGGCCCCCACCCACCGCTCAGGTAGGCTGGGGGACAATAGGTCCCCCTATTGTTATTAATGCAGGGGGGATTGCAGGTCCCCTTATTGTTATTAGGGCCCCCACCCACCGCTCAGGGGTGGGGGCCGGGGGGGGACAGTAGGTCCCCCCCTCATTATCTTTATGGCCCCCACCCGCCGCCCAGGGGTGGGGGCCGGGGGGGGAGGAGAGTAGGTCTCCTCCCCCCCTTCAACCAGTAAGAGTCCCTGTGGGTTTTAAAATTTGCCTGCCCATTGAAGTCTATGGCGGTTCGCCAGGTTTGCCAGGTTCGCGAACATTTGCAGAAGTTCATGTTCGCCGTTCTCGAACCGAAAATTTCATGTTCGCGACATCACTATATATATGTATATATATATATATGTATATAATATAAAAAAAATTTAAATATGTTAAAAAATAAAATAAAAAAATGTATTTAAAAAATATATAGGTGTGTTATTTCGTTCTAACTGTATTGTGATATTAATATATATATATTTATATCAAAATACACGTAGAACGAAATAATATATATATCTACATACATAAATAAATACGTATATATACCTATATATATATAAATAAAAATATTTTTTTAAAATTATATATATATATACACATATAGATTCACCTACGTATCTATATATACATATATTAATTCTACATATATATTTATGTAATATTTTAACATAATTAGGTATCTTAATTAATTACAATTAGCGGATTAGCGGGACCTTTCTGACAACCCATGCAGAAAGTAAAGGGAATTTAATTTGCTAGCACTATATTTAACCCTATAACTTTCCAAGACACCATAAAACCTGTACATAGGGGGTACTGTTCTACTCGGGAGACTTCGCTGAACACAAATATTAGTGTTTCAAAACAGTAAAATGTATTACAACAATGATATCGCCAGTAAAAGTGCAGTTTTTTGCATTTTTCATGCACAAACAGCACTTACACGGACGATATTATTGCTGTGATACTTTTTGCTGTTTTGAAACACAAATATTTGTGTTCAGCGAAGTCTCCCGAGTACAACAGTACCCCTCATGTACAGGTTTTATGGTGTTTTCAAAAGTTACAGTGTCAAATAGAAGGCTTGCGTTTCATATTTTTCACATTGAAAAACTCGCCAGATTGGTTACAGTGCCTTTGAGACCCTATGGTAGCCCAAGAATGGAAATTACCTCTATTATGGCATACCATTTGCAATAGTAGACAACCCAAGGTATTGAAAACGGGGTAGGTCCAGTCTTTTTTAGTAGCCATTTGGTCACAAACACTGGCTAAAATTGGCGTTTTTTGCATTTTTCACACAAATAATAACGCTAACTTTGGCCAGTGTTTGTGACCAAATGGCTACTAAAAAAGACTGGACATACCCCATTTGCAATACCTTGGGTTGTCTACTATTGCAAATGGTATGCCATTATGGGTGTAAATTTAATTCCTGGGCTACTATACAGTCTCAAAGGCAACGTAACCAATCTGGCAAATTTCTATTTCAAATGTAATGTGCTATATTTGACCCTGTAACTTCCCAAAACGCCATAAAACCTGTACATAGGGGGTACTGTTTTACAAGTGAGACTTTGCTGAATACAAATATGTGTATTTTATTGCAGTAAAAGCAAACAGTATTAAGACATTGACAGTTAAAATGTCATGTAGAACTAAAAAAATCAAATAAAATCTTATTTTCTCCAATTTTTTTCATATTAAATTATGTTTCATAGCTAAATATTTGATATTAAATGAAAGCCCTGTTTCCCCGGAATAAGATGATATATAATAAGGGTGGGTGCATTTACTATGAAATAGGTGAATTACGGTTGGACAGACATGTAGCGCAAATGCTAGGTTTTGTTTCGTTCACAACGTGTACATTTGGCTCAGTCCTTAAGGGGTTAATAACATGCATCGAAACACGCCCCCTGCATCTAATTTCACTCAATTAATAAGTGGAATAAGATAAGGTAACACATTTGCTTTGCAATTAGTAGTGTTCATTCCATAATTGTGTGCATGTAAAAATGACTTCAGCATACATCCATACTGCAAGATTTATGTTGCTTTAGGTTCTGCCAAATATACATACATTTCCATGCACTATTTAACCACTTTTACCTGAATATAATCATGAAAAAAAATTAAAATACATTTATATTTCTCTCTCACCCTCTCTGTTTCACTCTGATTATGGAAAATATGACTTATCATAGGGGGTAGATTTTCAAATGTACTCAGGTAAGATTATGAGTTGTAACAATTTAAATGTAAAAGTTAACTTGAACTTTTTTTATTGTTTGATGTCAACCCCCCTCCAATAAATGCCTGCATGCATATAAAACTTTGCTCAGTATTAACCTCTCACTACCAAGCACTTTTTGATTGAAAACATCTATTTACGTAATATGTATCCAAAGGATGCGTTGTTAGCATATAAACATAACACAATAATTTAAAATTAAAATGATAAACATTTACAAATTTCTTGTTTTTCATTTATTTGTTCAGCCTTTATATTTGGGAAATTAAAAACTTTAGACAGTATAGAGTTATTTATATTGAAATATTTCACACAGGTGAGCTTGATAAAGACCACATTGGTCGAAACATTGTTATGAACATTCTGGTGACAATAAATTGCCTGAAATTGAAGCTTTGCAGTGCCCTTATCCTTTCTTTTGAAATGTAAAAACACAAAAACATTTTTTCACAGTAAATGTGCTAAATATAGATAAATACAAATACCTTCCTTGTAGGTGTGTGGAAGTAGACACAAATATCACCAGGTTCAATAAAAAGCGTTTTAATTGACCATTACAATACACAGAGATATCTCATGGAGATTGGCAAGAAGCAATCTAACATCATGTTACAATTCCTCATATTTTATACATATGACCCGGAACCGGCCTTTCGTTTAGCTTGAATCAGAACTCCAAATATGGTCTTATTTCCTATCGGCTAAATTCTAGCATAACTGACAAATTTAAGGTTCAAAAGTTTAAGCATCCCATGATCTTTCTAACAGATGAGTTGACCACAATCATGCGTCTTACTTCGCTAAAATATCGCTTGTCTATGATAAGAGTTAACACATATAAGCCTTCCTCTTTCACAACTTAAGCACACATTTCACCTTTCCCCCCCTGGCAACATCTGACAAGACACGCTTTCAAAATAACCTTTCCCTTTGTAATCCAAAAAACAGTCCAGACATCCATTAATAAATTGTAGCAATAAAACATAGTTTCTTCTTATTTCTTAGAGTAAATATTCTTCTTTGATTATATTTTAAGATGATGAATAAACAGCAAAATGGCTGACAGCATGTCAGTAGCAGGTTACATATGTTCACAGTCCTCCCTTTGGTGCTAGGACTTTCACCACAAAAAGCTCCGTGCAACACTTCCATGTTTAGCGAAGGTCATTCAGTGAGCTAGTGATTTTAAACAGCACTTGCAGGACTTTCCATATAGATGCGCACACGATCAATATCTTCACGAGAAAGTATGTCTTTATTCCAAGTCGGTATGAGTTGTGACCGGATAGGAGACATTTCAACATTCGAAATTGTGCCAGGGGGAGATGAAGGTGAACAGCTCTTGAGGATTAATCAGCACGAACACTTTAGGACATTCACTGCAACATATATAAACACAAGCATCAATACTACTAAAATAACTCCAATGAGAATACGTTTTCCCATTGTTCCCAACCAATTAGTTAAACCAAAACTCCAGTCAAAACCCCAATTTAAACCTCCCGAAGAAGTATTGTGAACTTCTCTAAGTTTAATTTGTACTTCATGCAATTTATCTACATCTGTATGAATCTGACCAGTAACATTATCTATCTTTAAACAACATCTTGTTTTTATTAGTGCACAAACACCACCTTTGGAGGCCAACAAATAATCTAGGGCAAACCTATTTTGCATAATCATAGCTGAAGCTTGTTCCTGTTCTGCAGACAATATTTCAATAGCATCTCCTGTATTATTAAAGGCTTCATCTAGTATATCTCCTAACAAGTTTAATTTGTACATTAATTCAATAACCCCCCATGTAGGTACAAAACCTGCAAATAGCCTATCTTCTTCACCAGATTTTACAGTTCTTTCAGTTTTATCTTTTTTGGAACTAATAACCTTTCTTTTATTCCTCACCCTTCCTTCAGGCAAATTTTCATGAAGGGTTAACGCTGGGATAATATTACCTAGATAACAAGTTCCCACCCAATTGCATGGAAGTCTTTTTACCGCCCAATTACCACATAAATAGTGTACCCCAAATGGAAGATGAATATCAATAACACGAGAATCTGAGCAGTCAAAAATAGGTTGATTAATATAGGGCAGTAGCATAAAAAGATTGGAAGTTAAAGCTTGAGTATTAAAGTAGGCCCATCTCAAAATAGTGACATTTAAATGTTCATTCTGATCATAATTATTATCCATGATTTCTGCCTCAGAAGTCAAATTTACCCTTACATGATTAGTTATCACCGGGATTCTATCCTTGATGGGACATTTTGTTAAAATATCTTCTAATAAGGGTTTCCAACAAAAAGCTTTCAATCTACCAGTACAAGGGGCAGAATTAGTTTCAGACCCACATAGATTATAAAGGACATTGTTTTCAAAAATAACAATAGCATTGCTTATAGGCTTAACAATCTTGTCAGGACTTTTCTGATCCCTGTTAGAAATTACTACTGCTCCGCTAGTAATAGGATATGTTAAATGAACCTTAGCAGGTTCGCCAGATTTGGATACTTCATTCTGAATAAATCCAACAAACCCCGTTTTATTTGCTCTTATTTTCTCACAAAGACCCATAAAGATTCCATAGACCATGGCACCCCCACAAAAGGATAACCATAGTTCATGGAATGCGGAGCAAACCCACAAACCCAACAATGATTACTTTTGTTTGACAATTTATACAATTCAGTAGCTGTTTTAACGAAATGATTATCTATCTCCCAAGAAGAAAAATACTTGGCTCCCTGGCCCAAGCTACACGTGTATTAAAGAAAAAAAAAAGTTAACGTAGTGTAGAGGATGAAAAATTTAAAAAATGTCATAATGACAATCAACCAGTTTGAGATTCATGAAGAAAAACAGTAGAGTTGACTTTGGATTAGAAAGATACTCCCCTTAAAAAGTACCCCTTTTTATAAGGGAAAACGGCTTCCTTAGTCCTCTATTCTTCTTCCAGTGAAAAAATCTTTTTCAGCGCTTGTCAGTTTACAGTGAGAAACGTGGATCCAAGATTTAACCCCTGCGACTTTAACAGCTGAATTAGTGGTTAATAACACTTGACAAGGTCCTTTCCACCTTGGTTGCAACGCGTGCTTTTGTGAATGATCTTTTATCATAACATAATCTCCAGGAGCGATGGCATGCAAAGGTTGGTATTCACTTGTTAGCTGTACAGCTTTTACCTGCATATAGAGAGACTAATCGTTTTGTTAGCTACATGCAATATGTCATTACTAAATCATCATTTATCTCATGAGAATAACATTTTATAGGTACCCCTCCTGTGAACATTGGTCTTCCCATTAGAATTTCATGAGGGGATAACCCTGCTTTCGAGCTGGAGAGAATCTCATAGACATTAAGGCAAGAGGAAGTGCATCAGGCCACTTTAACTTTGTCTCTGCTACAATTTTTGCAATTTTATTTTTCAATGTTCCATTGGCCCTTTCTACTGCCTCTTTCTGACTGAGGATGATGAGAGCAATGTAAATGATAAGGGATTTGCTAAATTTTTGCTATCTGTTGCACTACTTTTCCTGTGAAATGTGTTCCCTGATCTGAGTAAATGTGGCGAGGCAATCCATACCAGGGTATAAATTCTTGTAACAATTTCTTAAACATTGTAGACATATCGGCATGGCAACAAGGATAAGCCTCAATCCAACCTGAGAATGTATCTAATATTACTAGCACATACCGATACTGCATTACCTTTGGTAATTCAATGAAATCCATTTGTAAATTTACAAATGGACCTCATGAACAGGGAGGATGATTTAGCTGCTTAATCTTAGGTCTCTGACCTGCATTGTTTTGTAAACAAATAACACACGAAGAACACACCAGTGCCAATATAGATTCTAGGCCCAGCCTTGACCATTCAGAATTAAACAATGATGGCAATGCTGGTCCTCCACTAAATATACATTCTCCCCACCAAAATCACTTACTTCTTCTTCCCTCAGTATCACATACAATTAATTTACTTTCAAATGTACCATAGGTTCTAGACCTTGGGTCACAGGTACACTAACAATACATATTCAGACCCCAATCTTCCTCTACATCTATTCCGTCTTTTTCTTCTAATTGCTTTCTTGCCCCCTTTACCTCCTTGCAATCTGTTGCTATATGACCATATCCATCACAATTGAAACATTTGATAAATGTTCTTACATTATTCTGTGGGGGTCTTCTGGCTATGTTTTGTCTTGGCTGATGTGCATAATATCTAACAGGCATTTGTTCAGCTTGTAGCATAATGTGCTCAGCTTTTGCATTTTCCTTGATTTGAATAGCTTGTCAAATTTCTGATGCTGCACTTAATACAATATTAAGTGATTTATCCCGCCATCCCAGTAAGGATAACATCAATTGTTTTTTTACTTTAGCATCCAAACCATTTACTAAGGTATTCACTATGAACGGCTTAATTGATTAATTCGTAATATCTTCAAAACTTCCAAAAACCTTAATTGCTTCCGCATATTCATAGGGGTTTTCTCCTTTCTTTTGCACTATGCTATGTATAGTCAATAGGCTGGGTAAAAACTGTTTTTACTTTGATGCTGAGGAATGCATACCAATTCTTAAGGACAACATCACTCCTCATCAGGGCAATTTTCCCATATGTGTGCAACTGCTTGTCCCCCCACCCCTGCAGGCCATGAAAAAGGTGACTCGTTATATCCTGCCACCCATTTAGTATGTTCTATAGGGGTTAATACTGTCTCCATTAACTCATTAAGATCTTATGTTGTGGGGAAATAGCTGGCACACATTATTTTTAAATGTTTTACAAACCCATTTGGATCTAGAGGGGGCAGGAAATGATACCTGTAAAAATGCTATGTCTTGTGGGCTCCACGGTTGACAAATCCTCCGTGGTCTCCCATCATTATCCATCTGTCCCACTTCTCTAATAGGTAAAATCATAGCCTCACTCCCATCACTCTCAGGCACCACATTGCTACATCCTGATAAACCTGATAGTAACCACAGCATGATCAGCAAATCTTTTAGGCAGTCTAATATCCCTCTCAGGTCTACCACCTCAATGCAACATGGCTGAGGCACCAGCTAAATTTTGGGGTACAAGCTGTGGTGCATCATTCATCTGCTGAGGGGAGGTGACCCAAAGAGGGATTCATAATCTCATGATTAATCAAAAAATCCTCATCATCATTATAAGGCGGAGGATTTTTAACATTTCTTTTTAATTTGTACAGTGAGGGATACAAACAGGCAACACCAGTACCCTCTCCTTTACATGCCCCTCCTGTTGCACCTGACTGGGGGGAACATTCTTGCTTTTTCTTTTCCTCATGCCATAACATATATGCAGACCATTCCAGTTTTGAAAGACTTTTTCCATTTAACAACATTGTTCTTAAACTTAACAACACCCAAGGGTCTAATGACCCCACCACTGGCCATGGATTTATATTATTCTTAGTTAACTTTGCCCATTTCTTTGAATACATAATATTTGAAGGGCCATATTTCTGTTTCATTAAAGAAACTGGGGAATCACTGGGTATACTATCCCCATGATCAAGCTGCTTGCCATGATTCAACCTCATTTCTGTTACTTGTACTTTTACACACCACTATATCACCTTTTGAGAGATCGAAAGGTCACAATTTTCAGTCTGTATACTGACTGACAACTGGAGTTTACACAAAAATCTCTTCTCAAATGATGTTACAGTTTATCAAAATTTAAACCATATACACACAGTTATACAATTTTAACACAATACATCTTACTCAAGTGCTACGTTTAACCTATGAGTTTAAACAATTAATACAAGACAGCTTAACTTCACTTTGCTACATTTAGACTGGGTGAAATTAAGACACGAAAACAAAATAATCTAATCTCGCTTTGCTACGTTTAGACTTGGGAGATTAGATTTATGTGGCTAACTTCAACATTTAGACAATTAATACATGACAGGGATACATCATATCAAAGAGACTCTCACCAACAGAGCTACGTTTAGACTTCTGAAGGCCCACCAAACCCCTATTGGGTCTGCGAAGTTTAGTCACTTAAGTCTTCCTAGGGGACTACCTGTCAGTGCTACCACTGATTCTAGAATCACTCAGACATAGACACTAATACTGCAGTATATTTTACAACATAGACATAAATAGTAACGTTACAAATGGTCAATAAAAGGCTAAGAAATCAGGTCACACAGACTAGCATTTACCTGCACCGTTCTTTGTTTCATGGACACTCAAAAATTACACTAATGCCATGTTTTATAAATGGTATGGCTTACCTTTCATATGACCGGTCTGTTTGAGTGCCCACGAAATGGTTGGCAGGTGCAGGTGTTCCGCTGGTGTCTGTGGTATTCTGATCCCGGACAAAGAGCCCCCAACTGTGGAAGTAGACAAAAATATTACCAGGTTCAATAAAAAGCGTTTTAATTGACCATTACAATACACAGAGATATCTCATGGAGATTGGCAAGAAGCAATCTAACATCATGTTACAATTCCTCATATTTTATACATATGACCCGGAACCGGCCTTTCGTTTAGCTTGAATCAGAACTCCAAATATGGTCTTATTTCCTATTGGCTAAATTCTAGCATAACTGACAAATTTAAGGTTCAAAGTTTAAGCATCCCATGATCTTTCTAACAGATGACTTGACCACAGTCATGCGTCTTACTTCGCTAAAATATCGCTTGTCTATGATAAGAGTTAACACATATAAGACTTCCTCTTTCACAACTTACGCACACATTTCACCTTTCCCCCCCTGGCAACATCTGACAAGACACGCTTTCAAAATAACCTTTCCTTTTGCAATCCAAAAAACAGTCCAGACATCCATTAATAAATTGTAGCAATAAAACATAGTTTCTTCTTATTTCTTAGAGTAAATATTCTTCTTTGATTATATTTTAAGATGATGAATAAACAGCAAAATGGCTGACAGCATGTCAGTAGCAGGTTACATATGTTCACAAGTGTTTATAAGGACCCTGAAGTCATAAAGTCCACATACAGAAAATACAGATAAATCATATTTCTAAGATTAAGGTATTTAAAACTATTATAACTATCTTTATCAAACTCTGGAATACTAATGTAATGCTGACAGTGAAATGGTAGAGTTCATTCACTCCTCCCCCTCCCTGACTGTAGGAATGATATGACCCATTGAAACATCTTTTTTGGAAGCAAATGTTGAGCTTACATTTTCAGAAAATGTACAGCCAATATATCAGTTACTAGTGGCTTCTGGAAGGTTTCAAAATCTGAGGCATTTTTTTTTTTGTTACACTAATCCAAACTGCAGGACTGCCCTGTCAAAGGTAGTACTGTTAAGTTATCTACATGAAAAGGAGGATACCATACACGTAAAAGGTGTTGGACCTTGGTGCCACCAGACCTATAATATAGTGAAAAGTAATATGGTCCAGGCAATGAAAGTCATTTAAAAGGCAGTTTTATTAGAACAACATAGAAATAACGTTTTAAAAGTTTACATGCTATTTTTTATCTCTGAGAATATGCTGTTTCACTTGTATTGTCTATTTGTGACTAAGTGGCTACTAAAAAAGACTGGACATAACCCATTTGCAATATCTTGGCTTCTCTACCTTTGCAAATGGTATGCCATCATGGGGGTAATTCTCATTCCTGGGCTACCACACAGTCTCAAAGGCAGCATAACCAATCGGGCAAATTTCAATTTGAAAAAAAAAAAGGATATTCAAGCCTTATATTTGACTCAGTAACTTTTGAAAACACCATAGATCCTGTACATGGGGGGTACTGTTGTACTCGGGAGACTTTGCCAAACACAAATATTAGTGTATCAAAACAGTAAAACGTATCACAACAATTATGAGAGTTTGTGTGTGAAAAATGCAAAAAAAACATTTTTACTGACGATATCATCATTGTGATATGTTTACTGTTTTTAAACGGTAATATTTGTGTTCAGTGAAGTCTCTTGAGTAAAACAGTACCCCCCATGTACAGGTTTTATGGTGTCCTTAAAAGTTACACAGTTAAATATAGGGCTTGTGAGCCAAATTCTCTGGACTTTCTGCCTGGGTTGTCGGGCAGGTCCCTCAGATTGTAATTAATACAATGACTTGATTATGTAAAAATATTTATATAAATATATTTGTAGAATTTAAATATATATAATGTTTGTGTGTGTGTGTGTGTGTGTATATATATATATATATATATATATATATATATAATGTCATTCTAAGCATATTTTAATATTAATATATAATATATTTTAATATTAAAATACACTTTTTTAATAATGATCTGTGTATGTGTATATAAAAGTACTTAGATCATATATATAATCATATTATATAATTTAAAAACTGTTTAATAACTTTTACTAACTTTCTTACAGGCATTAGGGGGGGCTGCCCAAGAGCTGAGGCAGGCACTGCATATGCTGGCTATTACAGCCATGTAATTGCAAGGACCCCGCGATCACATGGCCGGGGGGGGCAGCAAATTGGGCAAAGGGGGTCTGCCTGAGCTCCCAGGCAGACCCCAGGATTGCGACCGCCGGCAGGGGAACGGCAGTGACCCGGTAAGTACAAAGGACAGTGGGATGTTCTGGTGTTTACGACCGCCTAAAAAAGGACAGCATAGAACGTCTGCCGTCCTTAAGGGGTTAACTTATATGTACATGGAAAACATAAGTAAGGTACATATTTATATAATGCATCATGTTTCTTATAACATTTGTAAATGGTGGTATTTTTCTGTATACCTCCTTCTCTGGTCCTCTACCAGAGGCCTGGGAGTCTGTAGGTTCTACACAGTATCGCAGCTGAACAGAGATGGGAGATATTCTACCTGGAATTTGCTGAAGTCAATCTCCCAGTTCTGGGGGTTACAGCCTAGAGAGATCCAATGATGTGCCTACAATTTCAACTTCTCAATTTCCTTCTTCTTAATGTTATGGTCACTGGGTATTTGCAAAATCCACCACCACTGCAGTCTTCCGTTACTTGTTACCACCATAATGTTAATTGGACAGTACTTGCTTGTGGTTCTTGATATGGAAGTCCCACTGGAACTTTTTCTCAACTACCCTTTGTGTTACCTCACAGATCCAACTCATATTCTATGCAGATGTTTCATTACACAATCTCATCAGCTTGGTTGTGCCTCTTAGTGTATTCTGTTCCTGCTAGCATCTTGCACCCAGCAACAATATGCTGAATTGTACTCTCAGGTCACATCTTGGATCTTGTCTTCTGTTGATCTAGTGCTTAGTGCCTGTTCTGGTGCTACTTGAATTAGTGCTTTGATACTGTCTTTCAATCCCACTTTTCCAATCACTGGTAGGATTTTGTAATATGAGCCAGAATTACTATCTGTCAATGTTATAGCCTACGGAGAGGTTTCTGTTGTTGATGCCATTCAGCTGGGACTACAGGACTTGTCTGAGTCACAAATGCCCATTGATCTTTGAGGTTATGATGCCTGACAGGACAGGATTACATGTAATTCAAATTGGCCAGGTGACTGGACAAAATTTAGATTTTCGAACCATAATCTGCCAGAATCTTGGGGGACTAATTATAAAGTTCTCTCACTTCCTATTTGGTTTTATACAGATATATAGTAATTAAAATTTGGCTTCTCATAATTGGCATTGCAGAGCCATTAGGCCAGGTCATCATATAAATGTTGTTACATTACAGTACAGTCATAGTTCACATTTGTCCTACTGTTTTGGCTGCCCGAATGGCCTTCCTGAATTTTTTGTGTATACCGAAATTTGGCAGAGCCGAACAGCTACATGAACTAAATATTGACTTAGAAAAAGGAAGAAAAAAGGAGAGAAAAAATGAGCCTTAAGTAACCAGAACCTCCATGGGGGATATCCCCTAAATTATTAACAGAAAAAAAGAGAAAGAAGTTGGAGGTGCCAGTATTACATCATTTAACCACCAGGGGAACACTCAAATGTTGTAATTAAAAACTACAATTTAAAACATCACTTTTAATATGTCTATTAAAAAGTCCCTTCCTAATGGGGACAATAGATACACACTATCTCACAAAAATAATTCACACAAATTAATAATAATAAACAAAAATAATGATAAACAGAAAATAAATAATTATACAAGAAGGAGGATGTATAGTTATGAATCTACTATGGACATTTATTGCCCCTTATATATAGTCCTATAGTGTAATTATCTTAAACCACGTGTGTAAAATCCACTTATTCTTAGATAAGTTCATGCAAGGATAGATGAATGTATGAATCTATATACAATGTATTTGATAGCAGATGATTGTATTAAAGTTAGGATTATATCCCCTAGGTATTCTAGGGTTCCTATTGGCATTAAATTGCCCTTGGTGTTAGTTCACTGGTTCGCTAAATTATAGCCATTATGACTGTTAGGCTTGAAGTCTTCGGCAGTAACAATGTAGCTAATATAGTTAGACCATGTAGAATTACAGTTACCAAATGTTAATAGCCGGGTCTGCTTATAGATACACTTGTTACTTGTTACTGTAACTATAATTAACTATTTGGCTACTATGCAATCTCAGATTCAATTACAGGGAATCTCCTATTCATTAGCTAACCGCTTGTCCCAATTCTCGAGATCCCACCAGGAAGAATTAATTAAACGTAAACAATCTATGTAAGGACCTTTATGTCCAACAAGTTATCTTCCCTTATGTAAATAACGTAACCCAAAAAGAAAAAGAAAAATAGGGTTACTAGTAGACTGATATGGATTTAAATAACC